TCGCCGTTATGTATTCCTTAAGAGTGGGGCGCTGGGGGGGGCTACGCCCCCCCCAGACCCCCCCCGATAACTTACAACTCCCCTCATAGACCAAGAGGCACGCACTGCGTTGGCGCGTTTTCGTTCATGTGCGCACGCTTCATGCACATGCATAGATAGTTCTGGCACTGTTTGTGAACAAAAAGTAAATCTGACCAAGCAAAGGCCCAAAGCAAGCAACCGCATAGCAAATCAAAGGCCGTCACCCGCCACTGCAAACCACAGCACACTGGGACTCTACCGGTTCATCATGTACCGGCCACTGCTGCTGCTGTCCAGCCACTTCCTCAGTGCGTCACGGAACGGGAACCTGGCGGCCCAGGCAATCTGCCATCTGTGGGGATTTTCCTTCTGCTTGTCCCGCCATGCACCGTCGCTCATGCCCTTGCGGATGCGCTGTGTCTGAGCCCGCTTGGCACTGCGAGCGCTCGGGTTGGGCGCCTCGCCGCATTCGTTGTTGTCAAGCTGATTGGGTGACAGCTTGTGCTTATGCTGATCACAACCGCCATGGAAGGCAGGGGTAATGGCGCCCGTGTCATCGGTCGCCGCTGGCAGCAACATTGCCGATGCATTACCGACAACAGCACCGCCGTCCCAAACGCCTTTATCAGGAAAAATTTTAGACTTATCTTGCTGTTTTTGTGTTTGTTCGGCGTTCAAGTCGTTGCCTTTTGCGTGTTTGTCTATGGAAGGACCGGTCATACATTCTGCTATGCCGCGTTGACTCACGGGCTTGACCTTCTTACGGCCCCTCATATCTATTTTATGATCGATAATACTAAGTTCTGCACACTACGGAGCAATCTAGCAGCAATGGACGTTTTTGGCTGAAGGAATGAAAATGTACGGATCGGCCTCACTTTGTTCCTTATTTCCAAATGCCAAAAAGGCCTCTTTATTCCTTAAAAGTAATATATTACTTAAAAAAAAAACACTGTGCATGGCCCTTGTGTGCAGGTGCAGCTACTGCTCAGCGTGCTCTACAAAGACAAGGTAGCAGATGTGGTGTATGTTAAGTGGTTTGATGCTCCAGAAGATGAATGGAACCGTGAACTGAATCTCCGTCCGCTGCGATGGCAGAGGTAATAAAAGTAGTTTACACACAGTCGTAATTTCAGTTGTATACCTCCCTCTCTTGCACTAACACTAACCATTGATTGTCCACACAACCTCCACTTCCAGGGTGACTGGAAAACCAGCAGCAGCTTATGGGTGTATCCCGTTTGAGTCCATTATCGAGAGAGTGTGCATTGTTCGGATCTCCCAAGTTAAAGTCAAACGTACACGTGGTTCCTCCAGCAGAAGCATGGATGATGTGGAAGAGTCCATGGGCAATGCAGTTCCCACAGCACAATTTGTGCTCAACGAGCTCATCGGCAGCCCACCCCATGGCCTTTTGCCAGTCGTGTTGGAGGATATTGCTGAAGAAGTCAGACAGCAGTCTCAAGAGAGTGAAAAGCGAAGCTTGCACCCATCAGAAGCGCGGGCACTATTGGACAAGCTTATGGCCATCGAGGAATGGGAGCAATGGGAGTCTGGTTGCGTGTGGTCAAAAGATGATGACACAGATGAAGTTTCATCAGACGAGGCGTAGCAAAGACGTCCTAGATAATAACGACCGGGTAGAGGAGGATTGATCAATTGGGGCTCATGGGAGTAGGAAATCACTGTTTGTGTTGTGCTGATAGTGTCGGACAATTTATTCTGTTAAGTGTTTTGGTTGTGTTTTGGAGTTGCAGCCTTAATAGGCCAGATAACATGTGGATTATTCATTTAGTAAAGCAGACTGAGGGATTGTGGGCTGAGAGCTGAGATTCCTTGTGTGATGTGTGATAGTAACATATGAAGAATATGTGAAAATTGTAATCCCCTGAGCTTCTATGCATCCCATATATTTCTGTACACAGATGACACATGTAAACAACATCCTGGCAAGTATACAGCATAGCCTAAACAAGGTCAGGTATAGGCTGTCATGTAAACATGAAGGCCTATTATGTGATGCCTATAGCAGTCTTGTAATAGGCACTCGTGTACACACGCACCTGTATAGGCACTGTTGTTTACAACATCACATAGACACATCTGTATACCAGTCATGTTTACCACATAGCCTAAACAAGATCAGGTATAGGCTGTCATGTAAAGGCCATTGCATATTACGTTATGCCTATAGCGGTCTTGTGGCGGTGAGGCGACTGCTTTGCCATCCCCGCCGGCTGCAGGACCAGCAGCCATGCCCGCCCGCGGTTTCCGCACATGGCAGGACAGCAGGTGGGGGAGCCTGAGGGGCGGAGG